GTATAAATCTTTAACAAAAACAATCTAAAAAGAAAAAAAGATAGTTAATAACGTCTTTCAATTGAGCTTTAGCTCCTCCTTGCTAGCCTAGCTCTAGACAATTTATATCATTCCTTGTCTTTAATCATAAGCTATCTGAAATTTCTTAGTCCCATATTTATTTTGAGTGTAATCAGTCCATCTTTTCCACTCCAGTTTATATCTCTCGTTTGAATGATCCTTAAGATATGCAGATATTTTAGCCATCTCAGCTAGGTTTATAAAATGCAATCAATGAAAGACCGTGGACTTAAATATAAGAATCATAGTTACCAGTAATCTCTGCGTTAGCCATATCATGTGGATTCCCAATGTTTGAATTCCAGATATAGCAATGGCTATAGTCAAAGATGTCTACACCTTCAACCAAACTCAAAAATCTTTACAGGTAGTCTTCAGCTTACAACTGTTTGTTTAATGACCAAAATTATGACAGTGCTGCAAAAAATGTGACTTGTAAAACAATTCTTGCACTTATGGCTGTGACAGGTCGTCACATGATCAAAATTAATGCATTTACAATGGTTGGAGCATCCCAGGGTCATGTGATCACCCTTTAAAATAAATAAATACATTTATAAAGAATAAAGATTTCTATTCTATTCTCTCTTCTTGTCTCTTCTCTTCCTTTTCATATTCCATTCTATTCTCTCTATATTCTATTCTATTCCATTCCATTCTCTCTATATTCTTTTCTATTCTATTCTATTCTACTCTATTCTATTCCATTCCATTCCATTAATTTCTATTCCACTGTGACCTTTCTGGTCAGTTCCCAGCAAGCACAATCAATGAGGAAAAATGGATTCACTTAACCACCAAAAGTTTCACTTAAGCATGGCGATTTATTTAACCACCACAGCAGACAAGATTGCAAAATTGGGTGTGACCCACTTGGCAACCATTTCACTTAGCAACGGATGTTCTGGTCCCGATTGGGGTTGTAAGTCGAGGACTACATATCAATTGTGTAGGATTTTGCTACTGTTCCTCCGATTTCCCCCCCGCATCTAAATCTTTCTCAATCCCAAGAGGAGATTCTAGGAATGAAATTTAAGGTGTTTTTGCATACAAAAAGAGGTGCCCTATTTTATATGCCATTGAATTTCATATATTCACGAGCCAAAGCTCCTTCAGAAAAGCCTATCGGAAAGCCTGCTGCACATAAAAAAGGATATTATTCAAATTTGTACCGTACCTGAGTGTCAAATTTAGCAGCGCTGTAGAGGAAAGATTGGCAGATGTCATACATGCCACCCGTGTCACACGTAGAGTTTTCCAGACAGGCAAAAGCCCCACATCCCACTTGGAGGGCACTATTTAGACACCGAACCACATCCGCTGCAAAGAAAGGGGTGAGCAAGAAACAGAGAACATCTTAGCACACTTGGTTCAAGTACAGCAGCTTTCAGCTCAGCTGGCATGGTGGGTATCTGCCACATTTGCTGAGTCATGTTTTACTTCCCGATAGCTCTCCTCAGCACACTACCCTTAGTGAGGGATTCGTTGCATTTTTAGCTTCCACACTCAACTTTCAGGGTCTCAGCGAACCAGTGATTACCCTGGAAGATTTTGTGTCAAGAAAAAATTGCCTCCTACTACCGTAGGGGAAAAAAAAGAGGGGGGGGGAGGCGGTAGCTCAGTGGCTAAGATGCTGAACTTGTCAATCAGAAAGGCCGGCAGTTCAGCAGTTCAAATCCCTAGCGCCGCATAATGGAGTGAGCTCCCGTTACTTGTCCCAGCTTCTGCCAACCTAGCAGTTCGAAAGCATATAAAAAATGCAAATAGAAAAATAGGAACCACCCTTGGTGGGAAGGTAATAGCATTCCTTGCGCCTTTGGCATTTAGTCATGCCGGCCACATGACCATGGAGACATCCTTGGACAGTGCTGGCTCTTCAGCTTTGAAATAGAGATGAGAACCACCCCCTAGAGGCAGGAACGACTAGCACATATGTGTGAGGGGAATCTTTACCTTTACCTTTTGACGAGTCATTTTGACTTGAATGTTCTAAGACTTCAAGAGACAGGCAATTTCTAATGCCAGTCCATGAACAATGTCCCAAAGGTGCATTTTTCAGTAGGCAATTGGACTTTCTGTTTTTTCTTTGAGGACATTTTGCTTCTCATCCAAGAAGCTTTTTCAGCTCTTACTGGATGTTGGGGAATGGAAGGATTTATACTCCTTGCAGACAGCTGGTCATTTGCATCTTTTTAGCGGGTCACTGAAGCACTTGGAGGTTTATCTCTGTCCTTAGGGTTAACTGAGTGGTGCAAATGAGTGTGGAGCCTTCTTGGAAATGTTGAAATGACTGTGTTGTAGATTGGAGATAGATGTTGTTGAATCCCTCCCCTCAGTTGAAAGAGGGTTGTTCAATTTTGACATAAATGGCCTCTTTTGACCTCCCAATTTTGACAAAAATGGGCTCTTCAACTCCCTGAAAGAATGCAAATGACCAGCTGTTTGCAAGGAGTATAAATCCTTCCATTCCCCACCATCCAATCACAGCTGAAGAAGCTTCTTGGGTGAGAAGGAAAACGTCTTCAAAAGAAAAACCAGAAAGTCCAGTTGCCTCTTGAAAAAAGCATCTTTAGGACAACCATGACCTGGATGACTGACAATCTCTATAGACATCCATGAATAATGTTCCTCTCCTCCTATTACAATACTAGTTTCTCTGCAGCCTGTGAGAGTGGGGCAAATTCATTTCC